GGCACACTAGTGTGCCACGGCACAGTGGTTGAAAAACACTGGTCTAGTTTATAAGGGGGGGAAAATCAAATCTGTTAATTTGATTTTTTTGATAAATAGGTAACAAAAAAAAGTTTCATTGTTTCCAATGGCCACAAGGAAGATACGAAAGCACAAGTTGAAAAATAGTGCTGCTAATATTAGAGGGGAAGTATTGAATTGATATGGATTGTTGTAATTTTATGTGAATTTTACTAAAACATATGGTTGCAAATAAATGTATAAACTTATTATGCAACAATTGAAATACAGAACTCATATTGTATCAAGAAAAGAGCCTCAATTACACAAACCAAGCATGCATGATACCTGCCAAGGCTCCAAGAGACAACTTTTTACCATAAAATAAAATAGTAAAAAAATATCACATCTTTTCAGATAAAATAACAATAATAATATCCAGGCATTATATGTGCACAACACTCCCTGAAGGCAAGAAAAGCTTCCAGGTTCAAGTGCAAATGCAGTAATTAACAGACTGAGCTGTAGTCAGAACTGGAAACTCCTTGTTTTATGATTTCTCTGGGTGCCCTTAAGTAAGCTACTCTCTCGTCCTTTCTCTTGCATTTGTAACATTGGGAAAATATTATTGATCTAATTTAGTGAATGATGATAAAGGATTACAAACCCAAATGAGTTACAATCCTCATTTATTTGGAGAACTCTAGCTCTACAGTATTTGGTACTGATAAATAGGAATTGCTACTTTTTGCTATTTGATTATACCTTTGTAAAATATAAACTGTGAAAATTGCTATCCTTCTCATTCAACCTCATTACTCCAAGAATTGTATCCTAGAGTTAAGAGGCTCTAATTCTTATCTGCAACACATACTATAATACTATCATATAATACTAAGCCTAAGGTAACATTGGACAGAAACTAACCAAGGAAAGAAATATAGTAGAACTAAGAAGAAAATTCCTAACGGTTAGAGCAATCAACCATTGGAACAGTTTGCCTTCAGAAATTGTGAGTGCTCCATCACTGGAGGATTTCAAAAAGACGTTGGACAACCATTTTCCTGAAATGGTATAAGGTTTCCTGCTTGAGCCCGGGGTTGGACTAGAAGACCTCTAAGGTTCCACCCAACTCTATTAATGTATATTCTATATATTATATTATGTGCATTAAGCCATTATAAGAGAGCGTCCTGAGTCTGGATAACATTATGTATTCAATGTTAGGAATTTTGTGTTTATTCATAATCTATATTAATGTTAAGAAGTTTGTCTTTATTCATAACTGATTTTACTTACTCTAAGTCAACTGATTTCCCATTTATATCCAAAGCATTTATCTGGAGTAACCTTAGCTCCTTCTCAACAGAGAAAAGTCAGTCATATACTGTGGTTATCCAGCCTTAAGTTTAAAAATAAGTATACATTTACTGCTTTTTCCTTTGGCTTTCAGATTGTAAATAATCTAGAACAAGTTTTTTAAAGTGCAGAACAGAGGAAAAAGACAGGTTCTGAATATACTGAAGAAAAACAAAACAAAACAAAAAACATAAATGATTGGTAACAGATGAATTTTTTTTGGGGGGGGTACTACAAAAAACATCAAAAGAAGGAAAATTGAGTCTGAAATGGCTACAGAGTTTTAAAAATGTAATCCTCCTTTGGTCTTCATTGGAGAAATTAGTGATATTAGAAGGAGTGATCTGTCACAGGACAAAGCTAGCAAACAAATTGTTATCTACACTCCCCATCTAAACTTTCCCAGGGCAACATTGCTATAAGGCACAACAATATTACATAATATGGCTTGTTCACTTGGTTATCCTTTGGTTTGATCTCTTGCATATTTTTTCACTGAGTAACCACTGATTGAATAACATCACACACAAACATGCACACACAAAATTAAAAAAATTATCTTGGGCTCGGTGAAATGGTCTAATCCAGTGTGTCAAACTCAAGGCCTGGCGGCCGGATCTGGCCCACAGGGTACTTAGATCCAGTCCATGGGGCCACCCTGGAAACAGCGAAGGACCGGCCTGCGGTGCTTCTGCCAGCGAAAATGGGCTCCCGAGCTCCATTTTTGCTGGCAGAGGGCTGCAGGAGGCTAGGGCAGCCGAAAACAGAGTTTGGGAGCTGGTTTTCGCTGGCAGAGCACACAGGCCACCACATGTGTCCCCAACATGAGTGACGTTGAGCTGGCCATGCCCATCCTGGCGACGGTGACCCTGACCACCAGAGGTCAAATACAACCCTGATGCAGTCATCAATTAAATTGAGTTTGACACCCTTGTCTAATCTAACTCTCACCACATACTGTGTGTGTAGTTCATCAAGTTCATATATTACCTTTCCATGACAGCCAAACATTCCTTTCTCCAGGTAAACCGACTGCCACGTCGCAAGCGGAAAGTCCCAGAGGTAGCTGTGACTGGCGGAGGCGTCTGTCTCCATTCTGGCTCTTCAACTGGAAGAGGGGCTGGTCTCATGCTTAATGTAGCCCCTGGAAAAAGCAAAGCAGAAAGCAAAATGTTTCCTAAGGAACTACAAATAACACCCACTCCTCTTCCCAGTCTGGCTGATGACAGGGAGCAACTCCCAGTGGGATGAGACTTTGTTTCTCTGAAATTAAAATTAAGATAACTAGCAATAAAGAGAAACAGAGCCCTGTGTGTATAACAGAAGAGCTCCTGATAAAGAAATTAAGTCAAGGAACAGCGCAACAGCCTGCAAGTTGTCACATCAAGTCTCCTGACACCTCACATTCAAGCAAGAGCTAATATTGCAGTGCAGAATTCCAAAATAGAAGGTCCCATTAACATTTAGAGATTGTGAATGGCACATATATATACAGTCATGCCTTTTTTTGACTGATTGCCTTTAAATATTATGGGTAGTGGGAAGGAAATTCTTAGCATTCTGGGGCTGTCACTACATAAGTGAAGGACAGATTATAGGCACTTTAACTTAGCCTAGCTTTCCTAGAAAGCAGTTAACAAAGTTAGTACACTTGATCCCGTGGCTACAATAAACCGCTCTTGGCATGGTGTTCCTCTACCCCAGTGATGGTGAATCTTTTCAGTACTGAGTGCTAACAAGAGAGTGCACGCTCATCTGGCGTGCAACCAGGAAGAGGAGCTACCCAAAGGGCATGCGCACGCTGTAAAATGAACTTCCAGTTTCTGGGGTGCACATACGCACCAGCCAGCTAGTCTTCCAGTTACTGGCATGCAAGCACACACTATGATCAGCTGGCCAACATGCATGCTCACACCAGAAATTGGAAGACCAGCCCTTCCAATTTCCAGCACTGCCGCATGCACAAAGGGCACCTGATTGTCGCACGCGCATGCATGCCAGAAACCCAGAAGAGGAATGGGCAATGCTGCGTATGCCAGGCAACATAGCTCTGTGTGCCACTTCGGGCATGCCTGCCATAAGTTCGTCATCATGGCTCTATCCAATATGCCTTACCAATGCAGGCTTTCTAATACATCAGATCATGCGGTACCACTATAATTTAGTGTGATGGCTTATAACATATTGTAAGTAGCCTGGTAAGTATAAGAGATATTTGTTTCCCCCCCCCCTCACATTTAGAGACTATTCCTATAAAGTCCCCTTCATGCTTTCCTTCTTCTGTTATGCACACCCAAACACAAAGACTAATTATTACCCAACATTATGGCAGCACTGCCTCCTTTCTTGTCTGCACCTCCTCTCATTAAGTACTCCCTCTAATGTACAGAGCATTTGGGGTTTTGTATCTGAACAGCTGGAATGTTCATTAACATTCAATAACACCTTAGCAGTTTAGACAACAGCATATTTAAGCATACGAAAGCACAGATATTCAAGCTAATTAAAAAATCCAGACACACTCAAGCTACTTCAGATTAATAATGATTTACAAATGAATTTATATTTACTACAGATTGCTTCTTTTTCAGGTTTGGCATACTTCATGCTTAACAGCAGCACAACAAACCCAGAAGAATATATGTTTTTGATATAAAAGTTCAGAGATGTTGCTGTGGATACCTGTGTCAACGACATCAGAGAAATCTCCACATAACTGTGCATGGTACGTACTGAAATAGGATCTCAACTTTTAAATGGATTTATTCAGTCTGCATTTCCAAAACATTGCAAATTAGAATACAGATATTCACAAAATTCAACATTTGTCTTAATGCTGTCATATAATCTGCAATTCTAAAACAACCTACAAATATATAAATTAGGGCAAAATAAGAGCAAAAGTATCTTCACAGGTTTTGAATAATTGAAAAAACATTCAAAAATATTTATTTATTAAATTTATATGCCAACCATCTCCTACATATATATATATATATAGGAGAGGAACCACTGAAAAGCAAAACTTCTCTCCGGAAATCCTTTTTTGGTGAACATCCGAGCACAATGGGAAAGAGAGCAAATTTCTGTAGCATTTAGCTTCTAGATAACAGACACAAATAATTCTATGAGACAAGCATTTCCAAAGATGCTTCTTAGTTAAAAAAGAAGACAAAAAAAAATCTATAAATTTTCTTCGGCAATATTTCTGCTTCCATGTAAATCACTTATTATTGACAGGCCTGCTTTCTGAACACACAACACGTTTTCCCTGCTCTGCAGTTCCTCCTCTTAAGTATTAGATACGGCCATGCAAAAGAGCAGCACAGCCAAGAGATTAGATCACTTGGCTACAACCCTGAGAGCTTTGCTGCTTCAAAGCCTACTTTTAATTCAGGACGTGATGATTCTGTCATCCCACTCCTTTAAAAGGAAAAACAGGTCTACCTAGTAGAAGTAAAACCCACTTTACAAGAAAAGAGTTAGGGGTATTTGGCAGCCACCACACTGTTTGCATACAGCTAGTTGCGGCAGCTCTTCTGGAAGACACATTCACATTTCACTTCCCTTCGCCTGCACCAGAGGTGGGTATTCAGCAGGTTCTAACCAGTTCTGGAGAACCAGTAGCAGAAATTTTGAGTAATTCAGAGAACTGGTAAATACCACCTCTGACTATCCCTGCCCCCATCTATTCTCTTCCTTCCGAGTCCCAGCTGATCGGGAGGAAATGGACATTTTGCAGTAACCTTACCCTGGAGTGGGGAAGGAATGGAGATTTTACAGTATCCTTCCCCTGCCACGCCCACCAAACCACGTCCAGAGGAATTGGTGGTAAAAAAATTTGAATCCCTCCACTTGCCTGCACCATTTTCTAGGAAAAAAGACCCAGTCATATCTGGGTGCATCACCAATTTTCTTTGTCTTCCAACTTCTATTTCAATATTGTTCTAGTTTTGTTATCTTCTTCCTCTATTGTCCTTGGCTTCTTCCACCAACAATTTTCATGGGTCACTCTTCCCAAGAAAGGGCTGACCTGCAACTTGGAAGTACTCTTGGACTCTTAGCCCTTGCTAGAAAAAGAATGGCAAAAGTAAGGAGAACCTTTGCTTAGCTGAGATTGATGTCCAGTTTCATATCTATTTGGGCCCCTTGGTGAGATTGTTGTAACACTCTTCATAGTGCTACTGTTGAAAATGATTCAAACAATAGAGTGGATAAAAAAGAAGTAGCCAACTGAGAGCTGCAATGTAAGATTTATACTTATTTTCTAATTGCTGCTTTGGTTGCCAACTGGTTTCTAATCCAGTTCTGTTTTTTAACCTTTAAACCCCTGTAAAGGGGTTCTACCATTCATTTCCCCCACATGAAACCTGTCTGCTCTATGTATCCACGTAGGACGAGAAACTTAAGATCCTTTTCCTGAAAAGAAGTGAAGTCATCTCACAAATAGCAATAGCACTTCGACAAATATGCTGCTTCATAGTGCTTTACAGCCCTCTCTAAGCAGTTTACAAGTCAATATATTGCCCCCAACAGTCTGGATCTTCATTTTACCAACCTCGGAAGGATGGAAGGCGGAATCAACCTTGAGCCGGCAAGAATCGAACTGCCAAACTGCAGGCAGCTGGCAGTCAGCAGAAGTAGCCTGCACTACTGCATTCTAACCCCTGCGCCACCACAGCTCATTGAGAATGATGACTAGAAAGTGGTGTTTTCTATTAAGACCTTATTATGGAACTAGCTGCTTCCAAATATGCACCTAGTGTCTTCAACTGGAAGTTAGTTGAATTTATCTTTTGAATTTGACTTTAAGGAGCTGAGTTGGATTGCTGATTGTATAAGCACTAGTTAGTATTTGTATACTTTGTTTTGATAGTTTGAATTTTGTGAAAACTATTAGGATTCTTTTTTTGTGTGTGGCTAAAATATTGGCCACAGAAAATAAACAAGCAAATACATAATAAAATTGTGGCACTTTAGTTTAGAAAGCAGACAAACTGGGGTTTATTAGAGAAATGAACAAAAATTACAAGGTGGATTTGCAACAAAATATTCTAATATGGATTCCAGCGAATCCACAAAGTTTGGAATTAAAAGGGAACAAGTAAAGTCCCTGGCAAAATGTCAAGTCAAATATGAAATTATAAGACTTGCAGCTGTGTTTCAATCACAAATCCATTTCTTAGAAAAGAATTTATAACTATACCTGTTATAAATGTGAACTGATATGGAATAGCCCAAAGCTTTCTAAGAATCCTATGGGTTCTTCATGTGCTCACTAATTTCTTTAGTAATTTTTCTATTCAGAATAAGTTTGCTCCTTTCTATTTCTGTTGATTATGTTATCTCATTCACTCTTTCAAGCCAGACTTGATGGTGATGGTGCCAAGAAGATTCTTCTGCAAAGTATATATGTTGTTCCCTCTCTTCCTTCTGCATTCTCTTCTACCATTTGTGAATTGTATCTCATTCCTCCCTAAAATACTAGTGCTATTTGGTGCTTCTCCATATTGATTGCGGGAGAATGAAAAATATTTATTACAACATGCCTTGGACCTTAATCATACATTTTCTCTGGCATATCCTGAAATTCTTCTAAAAACCAATGCCCCTGTACTCTTAATGGGTGCTTCTGGAAGTTCCTTGGCAGTCCAACAGAAATCTGGCAATCTAACGGAAGAGAAAGAGATGCAACCACAATAATGATGGTCCACATCAAACCCAAGTCTTTGTATCCTCCCTATGTACAATCCAACATTTCCCATAAAAATAATGCTGAACAGGAACTGTGGAAGTTATAGTCCAACACACTTAGAAACAATGATATCTTGGGGAAACATGCATTTCAAACTGGGGTCCCCCATTTATTTACTTATTAAATGTATATGCTACCCATCTCACTCTGCAAAGTAACCCTGGCCAGTTTTTAGGCTGATTCCCTAATTTCACTCTTTACCTCTTTTAGAAACTCACTGCATTTCCATGGGGACTAGAAGGAAGGTTGAAGCTAGCTTATTAGAACCCATTCCCAAGGGGAGGAAAAAAATGATCCACAAAATTTGAAGAGGAAATCACAGAGAAGGGGACTTTTAAAACATTCGCTTAGATGGCTTTGGTGGGACAGTGGGAGTGGGAGGGAGTCTTTTTATTTTCACTGTTAGCCTGCCCCTTAGAAATAGTAGGCCAGACAGGGTCAATCGCTCGCAAGCCTTGCTAAAGCATTAACAAGCTGAGCAAATTTATTTCTTATGGAAGAGGAATGTCTTCTCCTCCCCTTGCCGAGAACAAAGCCATACATGTTCAAGCAAGGAGAATGTGGGATGAAGCCCAAGGAGAAAGCTCCAGCATTTTTGCTTTAAAAATGCAGACAGCTATGCCTGGACTGCAAGCCAAAGCCATCACATCTCTATGTCTGCTTAAATTGGTGACGACCTGGAGAAAGAGACGGAAAGTGCTGCCAAGGTTATGCACTCATCGACTCATAGAGGCTGCCTCTATTTATTATTCAGTAAAAGTTAAAATGTAGAAGTTAAAATTGATAGGAAGGCAATGGAGAATGGAGAATTACAAAGGCTAAACATGAATGCCGATACAGAAGGCTGTATAACTATTTTATATTGTTATGTTTGTCTTGTTTTTTCTTTTTGTGTGTGTGGATTTTTCTTCTGTTTTTAAAGGTAGAAATGTTTAATAAAAATTATTTTTTTAAAAAAACATTCTGGATGTCAAAACAAGGGTACTGCAATATCTGTCAGAGTGGTTTAAAAGTCTACCTTTGTAGCGGTTCTCAGATCTGAATCCAAAACTTCTCAGAAAATGTACACACATTTTCAATAAAGGACTTTACCAGCTGCCTATAGACTCCTTTTGCTCTCCTAAAGCTTATAATGATAAAAGAATTATGAACCTGGTGCTCCTATGCATTGGTCAAAGAAGTGCCTTATACAGGAGGTCCTCGACTTACAACAGTTTGTTTAGCAGCTGTTCAAAGTTACAACAGTATTGAAAAAAGTGACTTATGACTGTTTTTTACACTTACGACCTTTCCTCCTAATCATGTGCTCAAAATTCAGATGCTTGCAAACTGGTTCATATTTATGATAGTTGCTGTGTCCCCCAAGATCATGTGATCCCCTTTTGTGATTTTCTGACAAGCAAAGTCATTGCAGAAGCCAGATTCACTTAACGACTGGGTTACTAAATTAACAACTGCAGATTCACTTAACAACCGGCAAGAAAGGTCGTAAAATGGGGCAAAATTCAGTTAATAAATGTCTCCCTTATCAATATAAATTTTGGGCCAATTGAGGTCATAAATTGAGGATTACCCATATATGTAATTTTGCAACCAATTTTGGGATTTTTTTCTCCCTCATCCCTACCAATTCTTCTTCTTTTTGCATACTTTTTTAAAGTTGTAAACATGAGCGCTAGGTTTTTCTTAATTATGCCTGTTTGATAGATGGCTGTCATTTGTGGTTACTTATCAAATATATAAGTGAAACTCAAATGTTCAAAAATTGTACACTGTATCTTTGAACAAAAATGATATGCCACACGAAAAAGTCCATAATCTTCATGAGATGCCTACCAAGGGAGAAAGGAAAGACAATTTGCAACAACTTAACCAAAATTTAATCTAGCAAGGTTACTTCAAATGCATACAGGCAGGAACTAAGAGACAGGCTTCAAACAAAGCAACAACAGCTCTAAGCTGGAGCAATTTAATTCTTGAAGTTTTGAGAATAAAGCAATTATTTGGCAAGCTCTCCATATTCATATTTATCCTGATATTTTCATATATAAGCAGCATTATACAAAGTGCAGAAAAGAAGTAAAGAATGGCATGTCAAAGAAATAAAGGCATGAAATAAGAAAATACAGATTAATCTAATTAATATCAAAGCCATTCACTATATTCCTGTTTCTTGAAAATTGTCCCAAAGGTGCTTTGTTTTTCCTGGAAGAGGTTTCGCTTCTCATCCAAGAAGCTTCTTCAGTTCTTTCAGGTATTTCTTGAAAATCATTCTTATTTTCACATCATGAAACTGCTTCAAACATTGCTTTTTGTCTTGAAACTTTTCACTTCTCTTATCAATTCCATCTCATCATGACTTTCTAAGTTTGTCCATTCCTCTAAACCTATTTACTCTTCTGTGAGGTCTTTGTTTTGTGATTTGATCCTGATTCATTTCATATTTCAATCTATTTCTTTTCATGACTCACTTTCATATTCAATCCATATTCATTCGGCACTTACTGTATGCGTTCTTGACCTTATCCTCTTGTTTTACCACAGGTGTTTTTAAGTAACCGTGCCCATTACATTTGATTTGCTTTTATGTTTCTTCTGATATATCCAACTCTTACTTCCACGTAACAAAATAAACAGAAGCAAACTCTCATACACGGCAAATGTTCATTTTTTCAACATTCATTTCACTCAATAAAATACATGCTACCCACTATTTTTCTGCAAGGATTTTCATGCCTTAGAATCTCCATTCATTTCCCATCTTTCATAAATACTTTATCAAGAAATACCAAGAAACTCCCAACACGGGACATGGGGGGAGGGGTGCTGCCTCGCCCGCCCCCGTGCCCTGTTTTGGGCCTGGAAGGCCTCCTGCACCAACCTGGAAGCCAGAACAGGATGTGGGGAGGCCGCGCACCCCTCCCCCATGCCCCATGTTGGGCCTGGAAGGCCTCCTGCACCAATCTGGAAGTCAAATCGGGGCACGGGGCACTGTGCGAGTCTCCAAAATGCAATGTAAGTGTCCCCCCCTGTGCATGTGCACTGCCCCCCGCTCAGGTGCAGCAGAAACCCAAAGACCAGCTGGTCAGCAGGAGGCAGATGCATATGCGCAGTGGAGCTGTGTTGGGGCGATGGCTGGTGTGCCCGCAGAGAGGGCTCTGCGTACGTGCTATAGGTTCACCATCACAGTCCTATACTATGTAAATATTACCAACACAGAGATTCCTACTTTCATCTTGCACCTATCTTATGAGGAGATACAATGCATTCTAGTTTTCTATTGCAAGAACACTAGCTGAGAGAAGAAAATCACAGACACATAGACATTAACAACAGCTACAGACTATGCAAAAGAGACAAATCAACCAGCCCAAAAGAGAATAAGCACCTCCCCACCAGTAATCAACAACCACGTCAGCATAGATTAACTCCAAGGTTAGCCTCCGGGATGGGATGTCAAATGCACATCCTCACATCATCGTTACGTGACGTATTGTGACTTTCTACCACTTCACTAAACCGGGGGTGGGCGTGGCCAGCGCGTGAAGCATTCGGCCCACAAGTTTGACACCCCTGCCTCAGACCAACAATCAAGTAAACAATACCCCATTCAAAGAACTGTGAAAGAGCCATCCCAACCAAAGAATCTCTAACACCATGCTGTAGTCACACACACAGGCAAGTCGCCAGAATATAAACTAACAGCAAACAGCACTCCTTACTAGCACTGATGATGTCACCTAGTCTGCAAGAAAACAAGCAAGCTGAGAGCACCAAGGACCATTATTTCAACCCTGAGCTACAAATATTCACCTTTATTGGAAGAAAATCATGCAACTGCAGAAAAAATCACCAATAAATCTTATTCAGGAATGCACACAGAAACAACGGCATTAAATTACAATCCCCTCCCCAAAGCTTTGGTTTGGCTCTGCTTTTTGAAGTTTGAGAACCAAGAATAAAAAGGGAAACTCAAGGCGAGAGGAATTTCTTTTCTGAAATATTAGGCAGATGAAGTCTCACCAAAGTTTCAACTCCTTCATTTGAAAGCCATCCAATGAGCCATACTGCTTTGTACCTTCACAGGGTTTTGTCCAGCATCTTCTTCTGACACCTCTAATGAAGAATGGGGTGCTATCTTCTGAAGCTCTCTTTCTATCACTGAATAGTTCATGTTGTCAGAAGTTGTTTTATTTGTTAGCCACCTGGCAGGGTATCTCAATAATAGATATCTTGCAACTGTGAGGGTTGAACTAACTATATGACCGTTGAGATCCTTTCCAAATTTCATTTCAATTCTGAGTTATTTATATTTTAGGACATTCAACTCTCTCCTTGCTCTACACCAAGAGGAAAAATTACAACCTGAGAAGATTACATGCATGTGGTCGTTCCAAAAGAGCTATGAAATAAATATTAATTTAAACTATAATAATAATAATAAATAATAATCTATACTCTGGACAGGACATGATAGTTTCATAAATATTTTTAAGTTATCCGCGGGACCGCCACTTCCTTAGTATATATGCCCATCCCACCAGTGTAGATTCTAGTACTCCAGGTCCTTTCCCTTAAACATTGTCACCTTGTGGGTCCTTGGATAGGTAGTTTTCCACTGCCTCTGCTTTATAAACACCCTCCCACTGGGGATCTGACAGGATGCCACCCTTTTAACCTTCTGGACAGCACTCAAAACAAAAGTTTTCTCCTAGGTGGTCAGATAAGGTGAAACAATAATGGAAGAATTAATGGGTTGCATCAGGAATATGTAATTGTAGTGTCAGGTTTTTCCTAGTTTTTGTTTTAGCTCTATATTTTGTTTAAATGGTTGCACTGTAAGCTGTCCAGAGATTAGTTTTAAGATGGGCAGATATACAAATGTTTTGAATAAATGAATGTTCCTGGCTATTCTCCCTCCATCCTTAAAAAAGACTATGTTATTGCAGAAGAAGGTTATTTAGTCTAGTCAGCAGGCTACTCAGCTACCACTAATCAAGGATGTGAGCTGAAACAGACAGTGATGAGAAAATTCACAACTATAACCTGGTGGTCTCTACATGTGTGGCAATTTACCAGTAATTCTATAAATTTCCAGCCAACATGACTTTTGGTCTTGCCATTGTGGGACTTGGAGCCCAACATACCTGGAGAGCACAAAGTTGGGAAAAAAATTAAAATAATAACCCCAATTATAGTCAAGCCTATTTGCCTCAGTTGCCACTTTCAAAGAATGATCTTTGACAGGCTGTGATTGGGGAAAGAGTGTGAGGAGATTGTGTTCTCTGCTGGTTAACAACACTCACAGCCCCGTGATTAAAGGCATAGTTTAGAAGAAACAGCCAGAGTATCTTAACTTGATTTTGTTTACCTGGATTTGATTTCTCAAGCTGGTACCATCGGTAAAAGGCCCTTTTCTTTTGTTCACTCAGGTCTGATCCCTGTTGCAACAGCCAGTGGGAGATCCGACTCTGACTGATGCCTGCATGGGAGACAAAGAGAAACATGGGAGAAAAATCCATCAAATATCTCCTCCACTCTACATAGCCAATTTTGTTCTTTGAATAGCAAAGCACTATCTATGCAAAGAAGCTTTAAGCTGCTTACAAAGAATCTGAACAAGGCTCAGTGAATCTACCTGTCATTTGGCCTGTAATATGATTTTATGAAAATACCTGTTTGTTTTGATGAAAGAAAATCACAAGTTTCCGACATAAAAAGGGAAGAGAGTAAAATCTAAAGATGTCTTAGAAAATGGAGAACAATCTTGAACACTGTCAAGAAATATGGTTTCAGAGCATGAGAAAGTAGAGTTGTCCCCCAATCCATCAGGAATTTACAGGACAAGTTAAGCAATTGGTAAGCCACCAAGTTCTTTATCATGTTTTTGTCTCCCATATGCCACCAATTGAACAATGCACTTCTTTTCTCTTTCATGTTAACGTTTTTCAATCCTATCTCCCTAAAATTATTGTGCTTGAAAGCTCAAATCCTTTGTATCAATTGGCATTTTTAAGATCTGCTGACAAAACACTACCTAGCATGAGTTAAAAACATTAATGGAATAAGGCCTTATTTTCTGAAGCTGATCCCATATCTTTGGAGCCCTTGTCTCAAGGGCTTGTTAAAACACACACTTGTTCATTTCTTATAAGTTATTTAAAGCATTTCCTGTACAGGGTGGTTTCAAGCAGGTATGGCCTGTAATTTTTATCCAATATATCTTCTCAAATTTTTATGGAAGATGCATTTGTTGCAACTAGGAACTAAAAACATGCATTGCAATTCTACATAGCCTTACTCACAACTTTACCACTAGGTTTAGCATGATGTATTCCTGGCAAAGTGTATTTAAAAGTGCAGCCTAAATTTTGTTTATTGCCATACTTGTGAAAGAACTGCTCAAAAGAATTCTATCACATCTGCCTCCTTGTGGTTTCAAATCTTCCTTTGCCCCCAACTCTTTTTCTTAATGCCATTAGCTGATCACTCTGCTTTCACAAAACTTTTGGACATCACAACCACCTTGTCTGTCCTTGGTTTAGTGTTATTGATGTTGCAAAGGCCATACATCTTAAGCTCTGGAATTCCTATACTTTGGAATTTTAAAGAGAAAGTATAAGCTTTGCATCCAAGGATCATTCCTTTGATTCTCTAGTTCATATAGCAAAAAATGCCCTCTACCTCTGTCAGAGGTCCTGCTTACCGTTACCTGTTATCATTACCTGACTTTAAAAAAATGCTGAGGAAATTCTAACTAGAAAAGCAGAATTAAAATGTTTAAAGGAATGTTAATGTAAATAAAATATTGCATTTGCTTGTTCTGAAATAAGGCAACCCTTATTTCTTCTTATGGTTATAACACTTTCATGCTGAAGTCTATGGACATGCTTACGCACACCTCTCAAACCTATTCTAGTACATAATGGGCTTTCAAAAAGCAACCTGAAACTGCAGATAGAAATGATTACACTTCTCAGTTAAGGGGGTTAGATTCCACTCTCCCCCTTCAATCAGTAATCTCACGGTTTTGCTGTCTATGGGGAAGAACACACACACACACACACACTGTACGTTACAAAAACACCAGCCTTTTTTTTTAATAAAAGCTTTGAGCTCTTAAGTTGAAGAGACCTAATTTTCAAATGACATTATTGTGATTAATTGCTCCGACTGCTTGCAAAGATAGGGAACAGTGGAGTGAGAGGAGGAGGAGGAAGAGGGAGTTCAAGATATCAGCTTAGAGGACATTATGAACACGTCCACCAGGAAATGGAATGACTCACTCAGCTGTTCATTTTGCACTGGTCAGAATGAGCAAAGCAGGCACATGGAACACCAGAGAGTGAAGGGCAGTCAGCCATTATTTAGCGCTGGCTTGGCCCAAAATGCAGGGAGAGAAACACTCAAACAACCCCTTTCCCCTCACACACAAAGAAGGTGGTGATATTTTCCTAGATGCTGGATTTATGCATTTTGTAGTGGGGGGGGGGAGATGGAACTGAGAAACACATAAGGTGTTGGCACATGTGACTACATCTCAGCATGTTTTCAAACAGAGAGAGCATAGTCAGTTTAACATAACTCTACCACAATGTACTATCTTTTATTTCCCATAATAAATAGACCAAACATCTGGAGGAGAAGTTCTTTTAGTCACTCAGCCCCCTCCATCTTGAGACTGAACCGGGAGAGCGCTTTTGATAATGAACAGGGTTAAATGTTTTATAAAATTCACATTTGAGGAGATGCTTTCCTTTAAAGCATATTTCAATGTTCATTTTAAATTTTACTTTCTCATCAATTTTAAAATAGTAATTTAAAAGATCCCTTCTGCACACAATTCTTTTTGGCACTGATTATACTGAATTCCTGTAAAGGAGCCTATAATTCTATCTCCCACTTTCTGCTCCCAACATGTGTTATTCTCCAATCTGACCTTTAGAGGGAGCAAGCACTAAAGAAAGCGCTGAACCATGACTGAGTGTTCTGTGCAAGCTATTCTTAGCTGTTCATATTTGTCATTTGCCTTATTCTGTATATTAATAACACCATGCCCAGCCTGCCACTGTCTTGTTTATCTCATTACCAAAACCCAAAAATATAGTTTCTAAAAAGAATAACAAACAGGCAAACAAAGCTTCCACATTAGCAGTTCTATGAAGGATTTCAACATAGGACCCCTTTATACAATAATCATACAAATATTTTTAATGTGACAAACAATACCAACTTTGACCCTTTTTTATTTTAGATGTATTTTTATGTGATGGCTTTGGGGGCTTTTTTCCTCTATCCATCTCCTACTTTTAATCCTTCCAGGAAAGTCATCAATAAGAACAGGAATGTCTCTTTATTTTTTGAATGAGAGTCCTAATAAACAAGTAGGTAAAATTCATCCAGAATGGTCTAGTTTGCTGACATGCTTCACATCCAAGCTGCCATCCTTAGAAGTCTACTAACCCTCAGCATCCTCCCTCCTCCCAAGACAGATGTTACTCCTCAAACTTCATTTGAAACCCTTATAGCTCTTATATTTTGCTGAACTTGGGAGAGTAGGATCAGGAATAGGGAGAAAGATGGTATTCAGTGCTAGAAGTCAGGATGGAGATAGGGAAACTATCTGGAAAGCAAATGGTGAGAAAGGGAAACAGTCGGATAGGGTTCTGGCAGAGGAGAGAGACTAAAAGAGTGCAAAGAAGAGAGAAAAGAGTAGAAGAGTCATAGAAAAAGAAAGCAGAGAATGAAGATGTCAGCAGAGACTATTTGCTGAGGATGTGTCCTCACCCAGAAATTCCATATTGCCACCAGTCTGATGTTAGAGCAGCCCAAGGTCGTTTCCCCTTTTATGCTAGCTCCAGCCCCTCCTCCTGGGCAATTCATGATCCATGGAAGAGAAGCTTCTGTATCAACAATAATATGTAAGTCAACAATATCTTGAGCTCCAATTGGCCTTTTGCAGAACTGACTCCTTAGATGTGGCTGCTGAATTCCTCACCTTCGTGGCCATTTGTATATTGGCTGCCAGACAGACCGGATACTTCTTTTAGGGAGCTATTTTCTTCCATTTCTTATAGTTTTGGTTAGGGGAAAGAGTAACCTTGTGGAGGCTGGTATTTCCATTGCAAAGGAGAAAATAAGAATTACAGCAAACTTTTAGTAACAGCTTCTCTATAACCTATGCTACTTTTGACTAGCAGGCAGAGACAATATGTAGCATTAAACAACGGTAGTCAAGGAGAGACAATAGAGGACAAATAAGTTCTTTTCCCTTCCTCTACTGAAAGAGTTCAAATGGCCCAGTGGTAGCCTGGCAGGCATCCCTTCTTCCTGATATTGAGTCTCAGCTAGAAGGCAGAACTATCCTCTATCATGGTATTCATGAGCAGTGACAGGATGGCCTCAGCAGTGTCTGAGGACATCTTGCTGTTAATCACGTTCATGCAGGGCAATTGGATGAGTGAACCTTTTCTGCCCCCTATAAATCTAAAGCTAAAGCAGACTTTCCCTTTTCTCAGAGTTCTTCTATGTAACAGAAAGTGCTCTAGGTTTTGTGGTCAATTTCACACTCTCTTCCTCACTCTTCAATGGTGAGGGGAGGACAGTGAAATTGACCGGACTCACGTCAGGTTTGGATGTGGAGGATTGGATTTTGAGCAGAGAGAGAATCTAAGCTTCACCCTTGCTGACTTTCTGCAAGGTAATTGCAGCAAAGAGATTTCCAAAGCCTCTCCAAGGTAATTAAGAATAAGCATATTTAAGCAATTTGTAAAAGAGTACAGAAACGTAGAATGGAAAATACTGCATGACTGGCATGGTGAAGCTGAAAATCATGGAATGTTCCTTTAAAAAAAAAATCCAGCTGAGGAGGAGGAGCCAACGTCGCAACGTTACATTGTGCGGACTCGACAGTCCGAATCCGCCGATGACACTTTTGCCCCTGGATAGTCCAGCAAGACCTAAACAGTCCCAAAGAGACGGTGACTGGGAAGACAAGACCTTGCTGGTCGCAGGGACATCGCAAAGTCCCTGATCGACCCAAGGGAAGCGCTTCCAACCGGCGGCAACAGGCAGCCCCTCCCCCGGCTAACATAGTTGGAGATAATCCAGAAAGAGAAATGAAAGTGTTTCCATCTGGTGAGGTTTTTTTTTCTTTTCTTTTAGGATATTGCCCTAAGAAACTCTTTTCTTAAGCTAAATTAGTCCCTTAAGCAAGAACAAAGCGGCATATTTAATCCCTATTGGACTGCCTTAGAAAGTTTTTTTGCTCTTGTCTGTAACAATCTTTTGTGGATTGAAGTGATTGCAATGTTTCCTGTTTCTCTGTTTGAATAGCAATAGCAATAGCAATAGCAA